CCAATCACTGTTGCTGCTCTCACCTCTTTGATCTTTTCAAGTATTTGAGATAAGCAGAGGTTTCAGGTACTTTGGTTCAGCTTTTAATTTAGCTTCAACAGAGCTCCAGAATCCAGACACTTTAAGAATGCACCAGTTTATACCATTTCTTTTTTTGTATTTTATTTTTTTGGTGAAAGTTTACACAGAAAATTAGGTTCCCATTTGACAATTTCCACACAAGGTGTTCAGTGACATTAGTTACATTTTTCACAATGTCTCAATGTTCTCATTGACTTTGTCCTGGTTGTTCAATTTCCAGTACTCTAGTTTCCCTTCTACACCATTTCTTTATGTTTTCTATCCTCTCTTGCATTGAAATTTGTCTCACCAAATTTAGGGACAAGGAGTGGGAATTCTTGGGCCAAAAGACATGTTTTCATATTTGGGGGCTCTTCCAGATTCTAATCCACACTGAGTTTTCTAACATTATAGGCTCTGCTGATTTCTTTTCTTCATCTCTGCAGTCTTTCATCTATGGCAGGCCTATTCCATTCACCCATACCCAGATCATACATCTTCACCCAAGTATGGAAAGTCCTGCAACTCTCTGTTCACCTGTAAAATATTTATTTCTACCAACAATTTAGTTCAAGGCTTCCTTGCCTCCACCATTCTTAAATAGTTCTATAGGAAATTATGATTTTTTTAAAAAAAAACAACTTTGTTTTTGGTGAAGGTTTACACAGCAGTTTAGGTTCCCATTCAACAATTTCTACACAAGTTATTCAGTGACATTGGATACATTCTTCACAATGCATGAACATTTTCATTATTTGCTTTATGGCTGTGCAGTTGCCATTAGTTTCCCTACCTCATTTCACTTTCATCTTTATTTTAAAGTAATTGTTGACTGGTCTCATCTAGGTGATTTTTTTAAAGGAGCACAGTACTTATGTGTGATATTATTTCTTGGGCCAATTTGTTATTTAGCTACAAGGTGACCTCAAGGGTTACTTTCAATTAAACGTTTGAAGAGTATCTCAGGGCAATAGTCTCGTGGAGTCCTCCAGTCTCAACCTGTTCGGTAAGTCAGGTTTTTTTTTTTTTAGGAATTTGAGCTTCTGTTCAACATTTTTCTCCCATTCTATCAGGGCCCATCTATTGTGGCCCTGATTAGAATGGTCAGTAGTAGTAGCCGGGCACTGTCTAATTCTTCTGGTCTTGGGGTAGATGAGGTCATGGTTCATTTAGACTATTTGTCCTGTAGGCTAGTTTCTTCTTTCTCTCTTGCTCCAGACAAGTAGATACCAATAATTGTATCTTAGATGGCTGTTCACAAGTTTTAATATCCCAGACACTACCTACCAATCTAGGATGTAGAACATAACTTTATGAACTATATTATGCCAACGGATTGAGATATCCCATGAGACTACGGTCTTAGTCCTTCACACCCAGTAATCCAAACCCGTGAGATGTTTATGTCTAAGAAGTATCTGTAACTGTACCTCCTATGTGCTTTATTAAATATATAAATATATGTGCAGTCACATACATAGACATATACATATGCATACACCTACATATACATACCTATACACATATATGCCTACATATATACATATATACCCACACATTTTTTTGGTTGTATTTGCTGTTGTTTCAAAACTATGTATGCCATAGAATTCCAGCAGGTCTTTTTTCCTGTGTACTTTTTGGTGACATTGTTTACCTTTGTCAAACTGTGTACACTTCACCCTCATTTCATGTTACGTTTCCCATCACCAAAAATAATAAGTGTCTAGTATCTAGAGAGCAAATCACCTTCTCTCCTTCAGCCCTGGTCACCACTAATGAACATAAGTTTCTATATATTTGCTTGTTCACATCATTTTATAAAAGTGAGAAAATACAATATTTGTCTATGATTGACTTATTTCCCTCTACATAATGTCCTCCAGGTTCATTCATGTTCCAAGATGTCTTGGGAACTCATTTTTCATCACTGTACCAACAATATTCCGTTGTATGTATGTATCACATTTTACTTACCCATTCATCTGTTGATGGACACTTAGATTGTTTCCATCATTTTGCTATTGTGAATAGTGCTGCGATGAATAGGTGTCA